GGGGGGGGGGGGGGGGGGGTACCGGCCGCCCTACGTCTGCCGTGCCCACCTGAGCCCCACATGCTTCCTGCAAAGGGGCTGGGAAAAGACACTGTGCCAGGACAGCTTTGAGAAACGACCATTCCACTGGGGGGGATCGCAGACACGCGGGGTGGGGGGAGGCAGAGGGACACCGCGAAGCCCACCTCCAAAGTAGCGGAGGTGTCGATTGTAGAGTTTCCAGAATTATTGCTTGCGCTGGAAGACACGGTCTCGCTTTTGCCTTCCGTATCGGATTTCTCATCGGAGCTTGTACATTCCATGTCTGCATCAAAACCAGTGGGGTAGCCCATTGCTTGCAAAACCTATTTTAAACACATTTTAAAAGCCATATTCCCCTTAGGTTAGGTATCAAACCAGCTTTTATAAATGCATGGTTCCGTAAAACGTGGGCGAAATCCAGTATCGGCCCCACACAGCGAAGGCCAGTTTACGTGAACGGTGCTTCACTCGACATGACTGGCGTGAGCCCCAAGGGTTTCGACGGCTCCACTCTCCTCGGGGCATGTCGGGGGCCAGGCCAGGCCGGGCAAGCCCCTGGAGATCCTGTCTCGCTCCTGGCAAGCGTGTCGGGACCAGACTTTTGCCATTCAGGTCTTATTTGGGGGAGGTGGGGGGGCTGCATTAGCAGCCGGAAGAGGGCAGCCGGAAGCCCAGCGTCCCGCACCGCTGCAGGTGGAGGCATGCTCAATAGGCGCCCATCCCTGCCATTTCTCGGAATACCCTCGGAAGACGCCTTCTCCTCTGGGCATGCTAGGAAGCCCTTCCGGCTACGACCCCGACCGGCCGGACGCGCCTTCTCCGTGGCTCAGGCTTACCTTGACTGCGACATGAAGCTTGGCGGTTTTCTTGGAAGGCCCGGAAGCTTCGTACGTCGTGCCGTCCACATCCACAGACATCGTGAAAACCGGGGCGTGGACGGGGCCCGACTGAGAGAGCAGCTTGTACTGCAGGCCCGGCCGGATCTGGTTCAGACGCATTAAGGCGTTCATGAGATCTATTGCTTTGCTGTCGAGGACTGGTGGGGCAGAGAGAGAGAGGGCGCTGAGGTGGGGCAGGCTGCCTCAGGGACGAGGGGCGGAGAGCCTTGCCTGGAAAAAGGTCCCCATTCCCATCCTTATGCGTGTCCTTATGGGAAACAGTAGCGCCAATCGACACTTGGCTTTCTGGACGTTTACAAGCATTTAAAGTGTAAAACCCAAACCCAACGTCATAATAAGGTAAAACCAGGAACGATTCCACAATAACAATCCGTAAAAACAAAGTGTACAACCAATAACCGAAAAGAACACAATGCAAAACCAATAACGATAGTAGATGGATAGTAAATAGCTATTCCACAGCGGCACAATGAAATCTAAAATGTCCACCATCAAAATACTGAGAAAATAAGAACGTTTTAGCCTGATGCCAAAAAGAGCAGAGCATCAACCTCTCTAAAAAGCTGGCGTCACAAATGGGGCCACAGCCGAAAAGGCCCTTCTGTCATGTCTTTTGCAGGAGGAGAAAACATCTGATGAGGACCGTAGGGTCCAGGAATTCATGCTCAGCTTCATAAAATGCGTTGGGAGCATAAAGATGAAAATAAAGACCACTGATGCGCAGAAGGACAAGCCAGGATTCTCCAGAAAGGTTCCTTAGTGTGTCACCCCAATCAGGGTTCTGGACGAATTGCTCCCTTTAAAGCCTTGATCATAAAAAACGGGGTTTATTCGTGGCTTACACGATCCTGGCTTGTTGGGAAGTGAGATCCGCAGCTTAGACAACCATGCTGGAAAAATTCGCATTGGATTTCTCAGTCCAAGGGGGGGGCAACCCACCCCTCCTAAAGTCCATCCTGGGACTGACTGGCGGCCAAGCAGAAACCAATCAGTGGTCTTGCTCCTGAGTTTTGGCAGCCCACGATGGTGGTCTAAAAAAGACCGATTTCAGCGGCCAGGCTTACACGTGTATTAAATACGAGCACCGATCGTTTGCACAAAGGTGTGCTGACGGGAACACGAATAGGAACAGAGGCTGGTGGAGGAACTGAGGGATGGAGCGGATGAGCACGATGTACGCCAGAGCCCTCCGCCGGGAGAGAGAGACGGCCGGCTGGTCCTTCCGCTTTCTGCCCGGCGACCGGAAAGGGGCAGGTGCGCTGCCAAATTGCCAGGCCTTGCTGCTTCGCCTCGGACGTCTGAGTGACGCCAGCAGCTCAGCCTTCCCCACCGGGACCGGGGGCAGAGCGCTGCGCTTGGCCAGTTAAAACCCGTGGCCTGCCACGGTGCGGCTGGGGCCACGGCGGGAGGACCAGCGGGCAAGCTTGGCCATGGGCCTTCCTCCTCGCCCAAAGAGGCCCCCTCTTGGGGCCCCCGTCCAGCCAAGGACAGAGGGGGCCACCCACTTCCACGGGGACCGCCGGCCGCAGACCTGACACGGGCGGGCAAGCAAGCGGCTCCTTGCGTGGCAGCTTGGCCGGGCCTGCGGGGGGGGGGGCACAGGCTGGCGCGGCCTCCCCGGTGTGGCCGCGGGCATCGGCTTCCTTGGCAACGGGCGCTTGTTCCGAGCGGGGTCGCGGGATTAAGTAACGATGCCCAGGGCCGGCTTCCGGAGGAAACCTCGGTTGCGCCTTCAGGGCAGCGCCTCTCTCCGCCGACCTGTGCCTCCCTCATCTGGGCTCCTCCGCCAGAAGCCCGTTGCACGGGGACCCTTCTCGGTGGTGGGATCCCACCGCTGCACGACCCCCTTGCAGAGACTCCCTTGTGCCGCCAGAATCACACGCCCCTCGTCTGCGGGTGAACGACAGCCTTGCTAGTCCCCCACAGCAGCGACGGATCGCGCTTTCCTCCCGAATGTTAAAAGGCTCAGGGAGGGCGATGGGTGTGGAGGTCCCACGTGGCCGGTGGAGCAAGCCTCCTGCAGAAGTCATCTGGCAGACTCGCCAGGCGCTCTCACCAGGGCAGGGACGGGAACGGCACCCTGACGGCGGCACCTGCCGGGGACGCTTGGCCTGCAGCTTGCCCGGCAGCGCTACAGGACAAGATGGCCCCGGGGTCTCTTCCGGGGGGGGGGGTCTTCTAACGCCCACTCTGGAGGGGATAGAGGTGGCAGCACTCCCCTGGTTCCAGGGCTCAGAAGCAATCGCTGCTGTTCCGTTGCCAACATGAAGACGAGGGAGGTTTACAGAAGTAAAACAAACCAGCAGCAGGGGGAAAACCGCGACCACAGGCTGTGTGTGCTCGGCAAATTGAAATTTTGAGGAGCGCCGGGACGGGCTATCCCGAACGGAACCGCTCCAGGCCGCGATATCCCCTGGCGGGGCCCCACTGCCCCACTCGCGTCGGCTGCTGAAGTGCGGCCAGTTCTCAGCCAGAGGTGCAAATAAATACGAGCACCGAGAGAACGGAGTTGTGCTTTTTAAGCCACCGCAGCCAAAGCTGCAGAAATGAGCGGCTCCAGCAGGAAGAAGCCGCACGCAGCTCTTTGGTTTGCTCCTTCAAAGGATTTTGCATCCGCGCCCCCTGCTGCTCTCTGACCGCAGCTCCTCTGGAGAGCACTTGGCAGCACAGAACAACAGATGCATATATTTAAAAAAGGCAGCCTTACTTTTCCTCAAGTTACGCTTCATCTTCTTATTGGGATCCTTCTCGTCCCCCAACCCGTCTTCAAAAGGCCTCTTCAAAGCAGAGGAGCCTGCACCTGAAAGCAAACAAGCAGGCAAACCTCTCGTTAACAGCCCCAATTAAAATTCCACACCAGAAGATGCATTATATCTGCTTTGGGCACGAGATACATTGAACATTTAAGTAACAGACATCATTTTGGTGTGCTGGAAACAACCCCAAATTAAAATTCTGCACCAAGAAGATATATTCTCCCAACTGGTGTAAACTGGGTTAAAAATTGCAGCTTTTTCACTGATCTTGCAGAAGATCCCCATCTATTTTATTTTGGCTTTGCTAACCACGGGGACTGGGATCCAGTATTTTTCCAGGCCACTCACGCCAAGTGACCAGTGAAAACCTTATCCAGCCACTCCCAGCTGACTTCAGAAATTCTCTGTAAGCACTGCCCTTCAAGAATATCTTTCAACCACCCATGAGGACTAGAAACATGTTATGACTTGTTTGGATTTTCTAAGTAAAGGAGCTCAGAATCTGCACCAAACACTATCTTCCACAGAATCATAGCCTGTACAACGCTCTGCCTTGTGTTTTTTAAAAGAGTCACTCACCTGGATCCTTGCCAGAGAAGACAGGTTAAACATTTCAGGTGAGCAAGGACGAACTTCCACCCCCCCCCCCCCAACAGCCTGTTCATCACCAGTCAGCCCAGGTCTTCCAGGGCACCCACAGAATATTCTTCCCACCTTATCCCTACCATCGAGGGGGTGCGCCCTAAGAAATCTTGCAGGAGGAGGTTATTTCCGAGCCCCCACTTTTCCTTGCCAAAATCCTGGGCCCAAATCCTGGATTTTATGGCCAGAGAAGGCCTACAGACCTGCGGCACAATCCTACAGCACCCCAGAATAAACTGCTTTCCCGAGGCCACTCAGAGGGGTGTTCTGGCTCAGAGGTGCACCTGACAGGTGGCAAAAACCTCCTCTGGACGCAGACAGAGACCCCCAAGTCCTGCTTGGCCACTCCTCTAATCTGCCCAGCCAGCACAGCCTGGATGAATTTACGGGGGGTGAACGCAGGTGCCGAGCGTGGGACCTGGACCGCAGTCCACCAGGGAGGCCACGAGGAAGACAGGCCGCTGCTCCATCATCGCAAGCCTCTTCGCATTCTCATCTCCCGGAAGGGAAGAGGCCTCTCTCCTTATCCCGTCCTATTTTCTTCCCCTGAACACTCGCTCCTTGCTAAAGGCTGCCAGCTGTGGGCCAGCACATCTGGAAGGCCCGCTTGGGTGTTCGCTCCCCAACTCAGGCTTCTGGTACGCGGGGAGAGCAGCGAGACGCGATTATTTGCTTTGCAGTGCATTTTCAAAATACGTTGACGGGCCTTGAACGGCTGGGGGGGCCAAACTCGACTGCCAAGGGGTATCCCTGCACAGCGTTAGCACAGTGCTCATCCTGCCTCGATCGCATGCTGGTTTTCGGCTGGTTCCCCTGTTCTGCTGACACCGTGCGGTTCTCTTTGGTTGAGCCCAGCTCCGAGGTCGCACGACCGTGGCTGGCTTCCCCTCGGCAGCAGTCCAGCGCTTCGGCCTCCTCAGGAAGCAAGCACCATGTGCAAAGGAATGAGGCGAGCCTCTCCTGGCCAACTGCCGCAAGCCATTAAAAGCGAGACCGCGGGACGGGTGCCGTGTGCGAGGCACGGACTGGGAGGCACCGGGCCCGCTGGCCCTGCTGCAGGAGGGGCCGGGGCGGCCTGTGCTCCCCGGTGCTGCTCTCCCCCAGATGTGCTGGAACGCCCCAGCCAGGTGCCGGGAACGGTGGGCTTCTCCGGGTCGGGAAAGCCGGCCCTGCAAACGGATCGGGGAGGCCCACGTCCTACAGGCGTGACCTGCAGAATCTCCACGGCCAAAGCCCCGCCGGACCGCTGGAGCTGGCGCTCCCTTCTCCCCACCACGGAGAGGGGACACGGGCACAGGGCTACCGAGAAACCGCACACCATGGGAGAACCGGTCCCCACAAGTCTTTCGGGCATCATGAGCTAATAATTCTCCCATAAGCATCCCGGCGTGAACATCCATCAGGTGCTTGGAGGGGAGCCGAGGAGAACGAAGGCGCTCGCAGGCATCCATCACCTGCCTTAATAGCAATACACTCGCCCATTACACGGTGTCACGCGATCGATGTCCTCGCTCTGAAAGCAAATGGCCGGGGCCGACTCTGCCGTTCCCAAGTGCCGAGAAGCCGTTATATTTCTGACAGCGCCGGGCACGGGACGAGGTGACGTCTTAATCGCCGGGAAGCCCGGCACAGGGAGATTGAGGGGAGGAGGCAGAGCCGATCTCCCCACCGTAAAAGGCACGCAGCGGGGGTGCGGTCTGTGACTGAAGCCCGGGACGGGCTGCCTGCGTCCTGCGCCCACCGCTCCTGGCTCCTGAGAAGCCCCTGCGGAGGCGGCTGGCACATGCTTCAGGCCTGCCGCATTCGGTTGTCCTGGCCGAGGAAGTGCGACGTTCGGGAGACGGGTGCCAGTTCGCCCAGTGACCCAGCCCAGCACGCTGCACTGGGACTCAGGAGACTGGGCTGCAGGCCCGCTCGGCCGGGGGCTCACTGGGGGACTTCGGCCCGTCCTGGACACTCGGCTCGACCCACCTCGCAGGGGTGTTGCGAGGCTAAACGGGAGGGAAGACCCATGCAAGAAGCGGAAAGGGGGTGATGCAGGCCTGGTGCTGGCGACGGCAGCAGAAGCCGCATCGTGCGTTGGCTCCCGAGACCCACCGGACGCGGGCGGGCTTGGCCAGCCGCGAAGCAAAGGCGAGGAGCACCCGCACGGCTCGGAGGAGCGAGCGAACCGCAGCGCTCTTTTCCCTTTTATGATGCCGCATGCAAGGCGCTTATGAGCGACACAAAAGTGTGTGTCCGTGTGTGCGTCTGTGTCTCCCTAAGCGCCTGCGACAGTTTCTCCTCAGCAAAAGAGCAGCTCCAGAGGGCGCCATCCGGCCAAACGCCAAGGCCTGGGACGAGCTCCTTTCACTAGGCACAATCTCACACGGCCCAAGAAAAGCAGGTGCTGAGCGGCGTCCTGGGGGGGGGCTGGCAGGCACCCCCACCCCAAGCGGCTTGCCCACCCCCCCATCGCCTACCTTCTTTGTCGGTCCCGGACCACGGATATTTCTGGAACGACTTATTGGAAGGGAGAGGATCCATTTCCAACACCTTATAGATTTGGCCAAACGCCGACAGCCTCAACGCATGCTGTGGAGAGACAAGGGGGAGTGTGGCCCCCATGGATCAGGGCCGGTCCCCCCCACGGGCCGGGTGCCACTGGCCGGGCATCGGCCGTCTCCGGCAAAGAGGCGGCGGCAAAGCGAGAGCACAGACGGGCGACTGGCGCCGCTTCTGGCCGGGCTTCCTAGGGCTTGTGCCCATCCACCTCTCCGCGCACGACGGTTTCGTGCGTGCTCTCGGGCGGCACCTCGGTGGCGCTAGTGGGGGGGGGGGGGCAATTGGGGATTATACACAAATGAAACTACGGTAAAGCAACTCTGCTCCCCTCCCGTGGAAGAGAGCTGCACGTGGGACAGGAAGGGGGACTGGGCAGGGCCACCCCCCCCCCACGCCAGCCGGTCTCCTGCCCCTGCCGAGGGGCTAGCACCACGTGGCGGGCTCTCTTGGGCCGCAAGCTGCGCCCTGCAAGTGGGCATCGCTTCTGGACTAGCACGGCAGCCCGGGACGGACCAGGAGCCCCGTGCGGGTCGCTCCGGCCCCTGCAGCAGGGAAGCAGCCGGAAGGAGGACTGCTTCCTGATCCGGGCTGCCCGGCATTTATTTATCTGCATGCGCATTTATGGCCGCCCGGGACTGCCGAGCCCCTCCGGCCCGTCCACCTTCCCTCTCGTGGGGAAGCAGCGGAGGCCTAGCTACCTGGGCACTGTGAGTGATGGCTTCTCGTTGCTGAACGGTCAGACTGGACAAGGCATCCGTCGGCTCCCGCTCACAGGGGTCGTGCACTCCAGGCCCACCTGCGGGTTGAGAAAGCAGGGCGGTCAATGCCGGAGCCCCCAGGGTGCCGGGGTGGCCTCGCTCCACCAGCCCGCCTCGCGCATGCAGCGCGACGGGGCGAGGCCGCCTTGGTGGTGGCACCGGCTGCAGGTTGGCCTCTCCAAAGCAGCACGAGAGGCACTCACTTTATCCTCGTTTTGTCGCCAAGTTGCTTGTTTTGCTCGGCACTTCGGACCGGCTCACACCACTATGGCTAACCGGTTTTTAACATCTTTAAAGTGTATTGTCGGTTATTTTTAATATTTCATATACCACCCATTGTGAGGCATGCTTTTAAACGAAGGGGGGGATATAAATGGACTCAAGGAAAGCAGAAACACTGGGTTCAAATACGACTGTATCCAGGCAGATAAAAGACTGCAATAATTTGTCTAAGAAAATGCTTGTTAGTGATTAACAAGGCTGGTGTGTTTGTTCCTTCCACAAATGACAAAGCAGCAACCTGGAAATCCGTCTGCTCAGAGAATGGCTATGAGCAAAATAAGGGTGTCTCCAAAATGCACAGGACTTGCCCTGTTGTGCCACAATTTGGGAACACAATATTCTCAACAACAGCAAAACCTGAACCGCAAACTGTTCACCTTAAGCAGCACTGGTAACACGGAGGGAACAAGACGCGGAAGCAACATTTCAGGAATTAATGGTGCTCATGCCGATGCCAGAAGCCGACAAACTGCGGAGTTAACCCTTAACTTCTTGGTAAATGGGCTGTGGCAGTAACCACGACAGAAATTAAGCCATGCTCAGGCTAGAATTAGCTAAAGGGACAGCCAAAGCATCTTCTTCCTACAAAATCTGGCATCATTTGATCATACAGACCTAGTCGGGGATAGGCAGAGCAACGTCTGTTAACACCTTTCCTCAGATTGCGGCTAAAAATAATTTGTGTATGAAGACGGATGCAGAAAACTTCCAAGCAGCTGTGAACGCTGGTCAGGCGTGCCCTGCGGCTTCCCCAGTCCGACCCGCCGGCGGGAATGAGCCCGGTGGCAACCTGCAGGCCTGGGGGTGCCAGGCACAGGACGCCTCCTGGCCCAAACCGCACTGAAAATCAATGCATTTTTCGCTGGGGGTGGCGCTTCCTTTCCATACGCAGGACCCAAACACTGCATGGGACCAGGAACCCGGCTGGGCATGCGCAGCTACGGGCCCCAGCGCGAGCACCCGATTAGCGTTCCCGGGAGGAGCGCTCCCCTTACCCGGCAGGAGGATTCCTGAGGCCAAGCACTCCATCACACGCCGCAGAGCCTCGCCGGCACCCAGCGGCCGGTTGCAGGTGCCGATCGCCTTCTCGCAGATCAGCTCCAGGGGCTGCAAGACACGGAGATGGCCGTCAGCCGGGCGGTGGCAGGGAAGAGCCGCGAGCCGCCGCGGTTTCTGTGCCACGTGGAGCACCTCCCTTCCGGCCGGAGAGGTGCCAGGTTTTGCCGCTCCCGAGGCTGCGGGGCGACCACATACAGGCTTCCACAGACCAGGGGCGAGAGTGCCGGTTTTGGGCTGAAGGGTCCAGCAGGTGGTCTGCTTTGGGGGTGCACAGGGGCAGCTGTGCCCGGGGACCCACTCAATCCCCCGCGTGAACTCACGGACGCCCCCGCCAATGGATCCTGGTCTCTTTCTGCAGGCCAGCAAAGCATCGGCCACATGAGGAGTAGGCACCCCTCCAGGTATTTTGGGGTACACCCCATAAACCTGAGATGGGGGGCCAAGTCCGGGACTGTGGGAGCCGGAGTCCAAAGCATTTCCTAGGTGCCAGGCAGTTCTCCTCCTGGCCGCCAGGGAATTTCTTCCTCCAAATCTGTGCTGAAATGAAGGGGGAACGCACCAGCTTCCACCCGCCTCAGAGGTCAAGGCACCGGGGGGGGGGGGGGCGGGGGGAGCAAAATGATCTGTGCCCCCAGAAAGATTCTGTTGCTTCCCAGAAGGATTGAGGTCTACACCCAACTCGGACAATGGGCAGGGGCCCTGGAGGACATGTGTACAGGGAGAAATAGCCCAGAGGCACCGTTTTCTCAGCACATCCCAAAGACGGCCGGGTGTCCAAGCAGGAGCAGCTCGTCCTCGAGGCTCTTGGGACCGAAGGGGGCCAGGGACCCGCGAGCAGCACCTGCCCGCTTTGCACCATGCCTGCCTGGCCACGGCCTTCGCCTCCGCCGCTCCCGCAGAGAACTTCCCCGGCCGCTCACCAGCTGCTCCTCCGACAGACTCACCCAGCCTTTCAGCGGTGCCCAGGTGGGGACTCTGTTGCACAGGTCTCGCAGAATACGCAGCACAACTACACAGGACTTCAGCCCGTTTGCTCTGGCCTGAAACAGAGAGAGCGGTTCCAATCCACCTGCAAGAGCCTGCCCGAAGCAATGCTTTTGGAAGTCTCTACACTGAAGGGGGCAGCCATATCCTTGTTAGAAAATTTAGCAATTTCTATGCTACTTTTTAAAACAAAACTCATGCAAAATAAACAAGAAAGCAACGAAAACAGAGTGACTCCAAAAAATGAGCAGGGGGAATACATTCACTTTTACAAAAGGCAGGCAAAAGAAGGCAGGCGGACAGACAGGTGGATGGACAGAGACAGAAAGAAGTTTTATCAGGTAGCTTCACAACCAGAGACCTATTATCAACCATTAACTCTGGAGAAACCAGGGCTCATAAACCTATAATAGCTCGGTGCTTGAGTACAGGGAGAACTGAAGAACTGAATGAACTGAGGAAGCATTTCAGAGGAGGTTTAAAAATAATTTTTCAAGAAATAACTTCACGAGGCTACGATAAGGTAAGAACAAAAAGCCCAACCTGGAACCATTTGGCGTGACGCAGAGACGCCAGAGCGCCGAGGCATTTCTGCCTGTCGAGCAAGTCCGGCGGATCTTTCATTGGAACATTGTCTAGCGGGGAGACGGGAATATGAGAGAAACAAGAAGAGACAGACAGTTTGACCAAGGGGTTTCCGTCACACAAGTGCGCCTTAATACGGCTCCCCGGAGTGCTCTGATGTTCCCCCTGCCCAAATTTTCCCCCATATGAATGCAAAATGTTACTTTTTAAAACGCAAACAAGCCATTTTTAAAAGCGGTAGTAAATATGCAGAGATGAAACAGAGGCGAAATGGAGACCATTTTTCGGCAGCCGCGGTCCCTCCGGGGTCTTGCTCGTTAACACAAACCCGTTGCGTGTTGTGGACAGACCATACACAGTGTGGCGCTTGGCTTCACTGCCAATTAAAGAACAAAGGGGGTTTTAAAATAAGAGGTGATTCAGCCAGCGGCTTGGGCTCTGCTCCACCAAAGCCCCCAACAAGCAGAGGGGTTCAAGGCACCGAAGGACTCGGAGAGACGCCAGGGCTGTCTCGGTCGCAACTCGGAGTGCCTGGCCTTGGAAAAACCAAAAAAGGGAGCGCCCAGCGCCACACGGTGATCATCCAGCCCCGAGGAACTTCGTGGCCGGTGTCTGCGTTGGGTTGGCACTGCCCTGCTCAGTGAGACCGTGGCACAATTAAACCGCAGCAGCCCCAGAAAAAGCTGCAAAGCCAGCAATGGAATGAGCCGCTGGGGCGTCTGCAGGCACAAACGGGACAGTCTGAGTTGCCGCTAAAGACGCATTTTTTCCTCCCCCCGTCACCCCGCCCGGATCTTGTCCCTCGAGTCCCTGCTGTGGGCGTGAGGACTCGTTGGCGGTTATCCAGGACCTTTTAACACAAAGAAAAGTTTTGCGGCAAGTGCGGTGCGGAGACGAGAGAGCTGTCTGCTCCAGCATCATGCAAGGCAGCGAGGATCCCCTTCCGGAAGTTAGAGGGGAGCAACCAACCAGAGACTGGCCGGCTGCACGGCCATTCCACCAACCATGTACAGAGTGCGGGGCCCCTCTCGCATGCAGCCGGGTGACCGATGGAGCAGCTAAAGCAGGTGCGGCCTGAGGGGCCGGCAAGCGGGAGCTGAGCTCAGGCGAGATCGCCTCTCTGTGCCTTCACAGGCTGCCCCGAGGAAAGCCAGCCGCCCCCCAGCGAGGCCTGAACTCCCACGGGGCTCGTTGCGCAGGAAGGGACGGCAGCGCCTTGCAAGGGTCCCGAAAAAGAGTCCCCGAAGGACGGAGGCAGTGCTGAGCTCAGCCCCTCGTGTTTGGCACGGCGGGCAGCCAGCGCGTGAGGATGGGGTCTTGCGGGGCAGGGAGCAGCAGAGGCGACGGGGACGTGTGGGCGCTCGCAGCGCCAGGACCGGGTTTGGCGACGCAACGTGGAAGCAGCAGGTGGATGAAGGATTGAGCTGAAAAAGTCTCCACGGAAGGTGGACATGGAACATCCACCGTCTGTCTTCAACCTGGGAGGTTTAACGGGAAGCCAAGGGGTTCTCAGACAACACGGCAAATAACTCTGGGGTGGAATATCATCGTGTGGGCCTGTTGTCAGAGCTAAAACAAAATGCTGCGTCCTTTCTCAGGTTTATTTTTGATAGTATCATAAGTGCCTTTCCCCCCTCCAAGGACATGGATGCACTGGCTGATTAAAGCAGCGTCTGGGGACTGGATGCAGCAGGCAAATTTCACCCTGGCTGCCACCTGGCCAATTAAAATAGGGACCTCGCCGGTGTTTATCTGAACTCACTTATCCCAAGATGGAGGGCACCTATCTTTCCCCAGGTGGATTTCACCTTTCCGCAAACTCCAGCCACCAAGTTCAGCTCACGAAGCATCCGAGACTGAATGGTGCTTGGGGCTTTTGTTCAAGAATAACCAACAGCATGAAAAAAGGACCTTGTTTCTGGCATTTGGAAAGGAAGTGACTGCACATCACGTAACTTGAGCCACTGGGAAAGGGGGAATAAGGGGGAATAACCCACCCGGGTCTGAACGACCATAAATAGCTTTTTTTAAAAACAGAGAAAAAGAGAAAGGAAAGAAAGGGACTCAAACGCAGGACAGGGCTCTCTGAGCTGCACATTGGTACATAAAATGCTGCATTGATTACAGCTAGAACAGAAATGCTTAGGAGATGGCAAAACTCTTGGGGAGACTCTTTTCCGCTTGTTTCCAATACAACAGATTCCTTTGTGCGGAGCGATTCAGACAAGGAAGAAACAGGACGACCGGCATCCTGTTTCCCTGCCAAGCCAAGTCCGTTATGATCTTTTTGGGTCACGGGTGCCGGGACGAGAATAATGTTTATTCTGCGGCATTTTACCACCTATGAACAAGATGCCCTGGTCAAATTCCTCGTGCTGAAGTCGTTTCGATAAAGTAAAAGGAAACTGACCGCCAACCGCAGGGGGAGCTGTGCCCCCCACACGTCCCTGTTGCACGTTCGGTTAGAAGGGGGATTAGTCGTCTAGTCAAACCGGACTGCGGGAAGCGTGGTCAGGTCTGTCCGTCCGTCTGCCTGCTCCAGCGCTGGTGACCGGGAGCAGCAGCCCCAAAAAGCAGCTGCTCTGGAACACGTTGAGGCTCTTTTGGAGGTGGGAATGTGCTTTCGCTGTATTATACAGGGCGCGATGAGCCCGTTCTGGGGTTGTTTTATGGCGAAGGCTGGGCTATAAAACTGTTGCGAACAAGACGGGAGAAAAGCCTTGCTCCTTCGGCTAGCCTTGAATTACTCCCCTAGCCACTCAACCCATGTTTTGGGAAGGTGCAGGTTCCAACGGAGCATGAGCAGAGCGGCTGGGATCTGCCCTGGAGCCTTTCAGCACAGACGGAGAGGGGCACAGACTTTCAGCGTGACAGGCCTTCCTCTTCGATGGCCAGCGAGGTTGGCTGCTGCAGAGGCAAAGCAAGCGGGCAATTTCTGTGGCTGCTCCCTGGGTGCTTTTCCTTTGGCCGGATGAAATCAGGAATTGCCTCTTGCCATCGGCGCCCTTTCTATGCCTCCCTCCAAAAACCATGGCCTTCTGTATGTTCGGACAACACGAGGACCTGCATTCCACGGCTGAGAGCGCGCTGCAATGAACCCGCCGTTCTGCTGCTGAAATGTGGATTGGCCTGAGCCATGCTAACCGACCGTGCTGAGCAACCCACGGTTTGTGACCCAGCAACAAACCACGGGTTTCTTTTCATGGGTTGTTTATGGCCAGCAAGCCATGGGTCGCTGCAGAGCTGGGTTCAGACAGTTCGTCTCGCCTCTCCTCTGTTGTCCGCTACGGTTCTTACCGATTCTCACTACACTTTTACACCAAGCCTCAAAGCATTCCTGCGATATTGCTGCCACCAGTGAAGACAGAAAAACTGACCAGAGCTTCTCCCAGTAATGCTGGTTTGGTATTGGGCAGGGGGTGGGGAGTGGGGGAGCCAAGAGGCAAACGTGGCGAGTCCAGAAATAGCGAAAGAGCAATGAGGACGGGGGGGGAGACGTTGCCCACGGGGGTCACCCGCCATGACAGAGCGATGCCAGTTGGTCAAAAGTCCGATGTGCTTCAAGGGCTGAATTCCAGGAGGAAAGAGAGAAAGCGTCACAGAAACGGGGGCAGGAATGACCAGAGCAAAGGTTCCCACCGCATCCCTGTGCTTGTCTATTCGGGATTAAGCCACGCTGAATCCACGGGGGCTCACTCCGAGGGAGACGGGGCAGCACTGCAGCCTGGATTATTCCAAGGGTGGAACAGGGCGAGGTGAAGGATAGGAGGATGAAGCCCTGAACACAGCCGTGTGAGGCGAGACGGGGGGAACTGGGGCTCTTCAGCCTGGAGGAGACTCAGAGGGGACCTGTTGGCGACATGCAGGTGTGTGAGGGGGTGTCACACGGAGGTGGGCAGAGACCTGTTCTGCCCTGCAGAAGAAGGCAGGACGTGCTCCAATGGAGCAAAGCTCCGGGAACCGAGGTTCCATTTGGATGCCAGGAAGCACTTCCTGACAGTCAGGACCCCGAGGGTGTGGAATGGGCTTCCACGGGAGGTGGTTGAGGCCCCATCGGTGTGGGTGTCCAAGGACAGGCTGGGCATGCACATGGTAGGCATGTCAAGAGTGGAGCCAGCTAGAGCCGGGGGTCAGACCAGATGGCCCGGGAGGCCCCTTCTGACTCGCTCTGTTTCTCTGCTTCCATTGTGCTTCGCTTCCTCGAAGTTGTGGGGTAAAGTCCCCAGCCAATGCCTTTCCTTCTGGCTCGACAGCCAAGCCCAGGCGAGTAACAGGAGACGAGGCACACGGAGGAATCTGAGAGGCTGCGCTTCGCGAGAGAAAGGACACCCGGGGAGCGTTAAGGGTGGCATTTCAGTTGCAACTTCAGCTCCAACCCACTTATGGGTGTCCTTCGCTGCAAGACGAGTGCCAGTAAATTAGCAGGGAGAGGAGAGGAGAGGAGAGGAGGGGGTGCTGGTGGGGAGGCACCCCGAGGAAGGCCCTTTCCAGCCAGCAGGACCGTTCACCCTCGGAGGCCCCGTCCGACTATTCAAGGCGGCATCTGACTGAAGGGCCGAAGGCCTCGCCGCTTCGTGCCCATGAATCGCGCAGCCTCGTGAAAGCCAGCACCGCAACTCAGAGCCCCGGCCGGCTTTGCGAAGAGCGCTGCTCTCCCTGCGAGCTCCAGGGCCGCTGCAGCAGCCAGGGCTGACGAAGGCCCGCTCTCCCCGCCCCGAGCCCCGCTGAGAGAAAGGGGTCAGGGAAGGCCCCAGCCCACACGCCTCTTGGCTCAGCTGCGGCTGCTGCAACGGCCTCGACGGGTGGGGGCTCCAGTGCCTTCTCCCCAGAGCGCTCCCTGCCCCCACGACAGCCCACCCCGCTCCTGACGTTCGACCCCGTCTACCGTGCAGCAAAGACAACCGACGGGGGGAAGCCGGCCGGGGGGGCGGGGGCGAAGCTCATCCAGCCCAGCACGCATGGCCCAGCGCCAGGGCCATCCGGACCAGCACCAGAGTCCGGCTGCGGCTGCTCACAGCACACGGGCTCCCTCGAGGGTTTGGCGATTCACGGGCTAAACGAGCCGTGGCGTAGGAGCCCCCTTTTGGGTCCTTTCAGGGGCTCCCCTGCGGCAAAAGACCCACGCAGGCAGGCAAGGCGGGGGACAGACCCCGAGGGGCTGCACCATCCCAAAGCAACGTGCCTGTCGGCCCCACGCCGCACAACTCAAGCTGCGCTTCTCTAATTTTGGCTGTGCTTCTCCTTCCAGAGGAAAAGGGTTTCAGGAAGACCCCGTGGCTCTCAAACATTACCCCCTAATCCCCAGGGAAGCTGCATCCCAACCGTTCTGGAGAGCAGCAGTCGCTGGAGGCGACTCTTTCGGAAGTTGTGGGGAAAGTCTGAACTTCCCCTCGAGCCCATCCGAGGCCGGGGCGAAAGCGTCTGGGCAAACCACCCCATTAAATTCGTGCCACTCAGTACCAATCCGGACGGCTTCCTTTTGCCTCGGACGGTGCCAAACGGAGCGGTGGCATGTGGACCCTCCCCCCTGTTCCCAAGCCAAGTCCAGAGATGCTTCTCTCTCTAGATAAACTATGTAAGTGTTGCAGGCCTTTTTTCAAGCTAGTGGGTTTCCTGTTCCACCCCCACAGCTGTGCATTACAACAGGATTCGCTTCCAGCAATGCCGCTGGTCGGAAAATTCGTTTTTCCAACGGTTTATTGCAAGGACTGCAGCCAAGCCGCACCATTACGGAGCGTGTGGCAGATGATATCATGGACGGCTAACGGGGAAGCCCTGGTGCTTCAGCTGGGAGCCTTGGCTCAAAGGGAAACTATTCCAGAACTCGCCCCCCCCCCTCCAGCAATCTGAACTGCTTTGCAGATGGAGGCAGAGGGACGAGTCAACCCCCTGGGGATGGAGCGCTCTCCCGAGGAAGGCCGAGGCCTCCCCAGCGATGGACTGGGCGTAGCCACGGTTTGCCACTTGCAAACTGGGAAAGGAGCACCAGAAAGGAGAAACAACCCCTTCCGCCTGCATAGCAAGAGGAGAAAAACACCAGTGCGACCAGCGGACGAGAAGCCCCGTTCCTCACAGTACCTCCATCCTTCTTCTCTGCTTCATCCCGGATGAGGGGCGAGGTGAGGGTCACCTTGAGCGTAAGCGGGGGCTCGTTCGTGCTACGGATGACGATGGCTGCCTCGCCCACGTGATGTTCGACATGGTACTTCTCTTCTGTGAGTTTCTGAAAGAGTTCAGAGTTGCTCAGTTGACTCGGGGGGGGGGGGGGATTCTGGCCACAGCACAAAAGCACATGCGTTTTGCCCTCCCTGTCAGGAAACCTGCATCGGGGCACCGAGAGAAGCAGGCCGCTTTGTAGACACAGCAGCTTTGAAAAGGGAATGGAAACACGCCGAAATATCCCGCTTCCCTCTTCTTTGGAAGGGGCCTTTCGAACCCTCTTGCATCCGTGCCAGACAGCCAGCCAAGCACTTCCCTGTTTGATGCACAGCTCGGGAAGCCTCCGCAATGGCAGGCTGCTCGGAAAACCTCACAAGAAAGAGGGGGCTAAAAGCTCAGAAAACCAAGACTTGCTGCGCTGAAGCCGGTTCCCTTCCTTTGCTGCTGCCCCCAATACTGTCCGGCTCGTCTCCCGTTCTTGGAGGCGTCTCCAAGTGGGGCATCCACAGAGAATGTTCTGGGAAGCGGGTTCCCACTCCGGCTGAAGGCGTCTTGCCTCCGATGGTGGACAAAACCCCCCAGCTTGGCTCTGGCTACTGCTAAGAGAGTCGGAGCTCTCGGATCGGTTTCTTCGGCATGGCCTTTTGCACCTTCCCACAACCCCTAGACTCAAGAGGCTACACTTGGGCATTTGGGGGGGGGGGGGTCGCCGGGAGCCCCGGGCCTGCTGCTCCCCCTGAAAACACCAAAAGAAAAAGGAGGATGTGAGGAAGGGAAGGCAGCTCCACCCGCTCTCCTCCGTTACTGGCATCCCTCTCAAACCACGCCGCAAGCAAAGTATGCCGAGCGTATATTTTAAAATAATTTCCTCCAGCTGTGAGATTTGCTCTCGGTGGTTCCGACACCCTTGTTTTCATTTTGCTCGTGTTCTTACTTTCAGTCGTCACACCAACCCAAAAAGATCGCTCCCCCAGGTCTTCTACATTTACTGGATATTTCCACAAGAAAAAGAATGGAACTGCCCGTTATTCTAACTGCTAATTTGATGGCACTTTGCGAAGAAGGATAGGACAGGTCCCAGCCCCAAGGGGCTTACAATTTAGAAAAAAAGGAGGCGTTGCTGCACTTCTGGAGAAGAGCACAGTGAAAGATCTGACACCTCCAGTCCTGTCTGCCTACACACTACGATGACACATCCATCTCTGTTGGGGGAGGCAGGAGACGCTGGGGTCTAGCCCCCCTCGGCCATGCAGCTCGCCGAGGGACTTTGGGCCAGGCACTTCCTCTCAGCCTAGCCTACCTCAGAGGGCTGCTGTTGCGAGGTTAAAATGGAGCCATGGGCACTGACTTGGCTCCCCACAAGAGGGAAAAAGGACGCAGACCAGTGCAGCACTCGGAGGCGGCACGCCTGGCAGTGATCCCGCCAGAGGGAGGGAGCCACAGGCCTGGAGAAACGGGGCTCAGACCCCGCTTCCCTCGTGGGTCACGTGCCAGGGGCCATGTGTGGCCAGGCCACAGCCACGCACACCCATTCTCTCCCCCCTCCCTCACTCCCTGCCTGGCCAGGAGTTGCCAGGGGGCCCGGCACTTTTGCCAGGCGTCGGGACAGCCTGCAGGAGTCGCGAGCGGCGTTCGAGGGAACGTCTCCAGAGGGGACATGTCCGGCCCCAGCTGCTCGCTGCAGCAGCTAACGGGGCCACGCTGCAGGTTCCCCAGAGACACCCTGCCTGCTGGAAGCAGGGCGCTGGGGCGGGCGTGAGGCAACCCCGCTCAGCTCTTCTCATGGGGGTCCAACCACTGGGGCAAATGAGTTTCCTGGATGTAGGGAGGAGGGCGGGAGGCTGCTGGAGGGCGCCCAGCCAAAATTGCACGCTGGGCGGAAAACGAGCACGAACAAAACCGTTGCACCGTTTTTATTCCTGGCTCGCTTTGGCGGCAGAATTCTGCTTTGGAACTGCAGCCGCTGGCCTCCCCCAGCTCGGCACAGCGAGGGAGCGTTAAAGAAAATTGTGCCCCGAGCAGCAGCTCTTGGCCCCCGGCAGGAAACGCCATTCTGGGAGAGGCGAGGCGTTGGTGCCATTTTCCTCACCTTCTCTGGAAAGTAGCCTCGATTTTATTTCACTTTTTTTAAAGACGTACAGAGAACAACTCCTGCCTCTTTTATAAGCACGGTTTCCATTTGCCCACGCAGGAAAAATTCAGTGGCGGCCTCCTCTTTGCCCATGACAGCATTCGAGACAAAAACCAGCGCGCTGGCTTGCCGGGCCGCTGCTCCGTGCCAGAGGGTGGCGCGCCCCTTGCTCACCTGGATCTGTACGGGCAGATTGTCTTTGACAAGCGATAATAAGGTCTCCGTGGGCTTCTCCTTGCACATCAGAACCAGTTCCAAGTCCATGTCATCCTTGATCAGCAGGCCTTTGGCCACCAAGCCGATCCGCATCACTCCGCACAAGATCCGGCCACCTTGGTCCCTGCAAAGAGACAGCGGTCATTCCCCCCAGACAGACGGACATTTTGCATGCGTACATGGGAGAAAGAAAGAAGCGCTTCTAGCCCGTGCTCTTCGGAAAGGACACGTTCCACACCCAGGCGGATGGATTAGACACACGCACACGAGAAAGAAAAGCGCATGCTAAGCTTTTATGTGCCTCTGCAGAGCCGGGAAGCCAACGGGATGCCGAGGAATCAGGCGCTTCGTCCATCTGGCACCGTGCTGCCAATGCCTCCCCGACCCTGCCAGGAGATGCCGAGCGGCGGACGTGGGGCCTTGTGCCGCCAAGACGGGACGCCTCCCGCGCTGGCCCGAGTGCGAGAGGAGGAGCCGGTGCGCGGCTGCGTGAGATGCTTGGGCTCGAACCTGCGAGCTGCTCCAGCCAAGGCAAGGGTGGCCACGCTCAGCCGCTCGCACGCCCTTCACCCCTTCCAGCTTCCGTACGTACTAGAATACATGCCCGGGTGCAACAGGCTTCAGAACACTTAGAAGAGGATCCTTCGAACGTTAGAAATCGATTCATTGGGATCGTTAAACGTTGTCTCTCCAAGAAGCGTAACAAAGGCTGCGAGATGCAGCACGGCCCTGTGGGCCTCGATTCGGTAGTCGAGCCGGAACGTACACCTCAAAAGTAAACAGGGCTTTACTCTCATGAAACGTGTGCGCATTGATGCTATTTCTGGTTTCTGAAAGATGCGACACGTTCCGATCACTCGACAGGAACTGCGCTCCGTGCTTGTCTGGGAAGGTTTTTCACGTCTACGGGGTCGCTGACCAAGAAAAGGTCGCTCGGTGGCTTCGAAAGTTCCCTGGGGGCACTCTTTGAGGTCCCTCGCCCCGTGATGGCTAAGCCGGTCCGGCAGCACCCCTTTAATGGGGTGGGATGGCAGTCAATGCCATGTCCCTCGGAGAAGACGGCGCCAGCTTTCACTCACATCCATCCCAAAGAAGCAGACAGAGCCGCCTGGCTCCAGAACGCTCCCGGCACGTCAAGGAGCCACCTCCCTTGGGCTGCTGTGGTCCAAAGGGGCCGAAACGGCTTTCGCCAACACCGGCTCATTCCTCTGCCAGAGACACTGTCATTCATTCTTGTTGGCAGGCGAAAGAGTGGGGTAAAAAAATACGGGAATATTTCAGTTGAAGGCATTCTGAACCTTTGGGAATGGGGGGAGCACGGCAGGATAAGGTGGTGGGGAGGGGGAGGGGCCCGGGGAGGGGAGCCACAGGCTGCTCTTGGGCCCCCGTGCCACAGGCTCTGCCCCCACGCTAGCCAAGATGGCCGGACGGCGCCGCTGCCCAGTTCTTGGTCTCTGGAGCTCCCTGGCTGGACCGGGCAGTCGGCCCGCCCTTCCGCAACGGGGGCGCACGTGCCGAGGCAGCACGTGCCACTCCAAGCCATCGAGAGCGGCCGAACGGCTACCACAACCCGTGGGTGGTGGAGGGAAAGCGGGGAGCCGTGCCCTGGTAACTTCCCGGCTGGACTCCTGCAACGCGCTCTGCGTGGGGCTGCCCTTGAAGACGGTCCAGATACTTCAAGTGGTCCAGAATAGCGCCGCCAGGTTGTTAACATTTTCCCAAGGTTTTAAGGCCTGACTGTTTTAATTGGGGTTTTATTGTTAGTTGAATGTTTAGGACGCTGTGTTTTAAGATTTTTTTACGTTTTGTATTGTCAAACCCTCCCGAAACTTTTGGTCTAGAAACGTTATAAATAAATAAATAAATAAGTGTGTGTGTGTGTGTGTGTGTGTGTGTGTGTGTGTGTGTGTGTGTGTGCACGCGCGCGCGCATGCGGGATGGACGACAAGCCTGCACGTGCAGGGCAAGCCACAAGCTTTACAGGCCGCGGCGTGTGCGACGGAGAGACGCGGGCCTTGCTGCACGTCTCCCCGCACCGGCCTCGTCCGCCCAGGGAAGCCGTCGGTGCCGGGACCGCGTTCAGGAGAGGGACGTGCAGGGGACGGAGCGCGACGCGCCTGCAACAGCCACGGGGCGGCCGCACCGTCCGAACGCGCGGCTCTCTGCAGAGCAGCCCCGCAGCCGGGCCCTTCCCTCAGATGCTCCGGCCCAGCGCAGGACAGGCACCTGCCGCCTCCCAGCTGGGAGAGCCGCACAGCCGGCGGGCGGCTCCGGTTGTCTGGCCGGTTTCCGCACGCAGGCGAGGACTCGCCACGTCCCGCTCGAGCGGCTCGGGGGCTTCCTCCAGTCACGCCATGGGTTCTGCCCACAGGAGCCACGGCACGGGTCCTGCCCGTCCTCTCGAGTGGCAGCCGAGGCTCAGCAGCGGGAGGCGGTGGGCAGAGAGCGAGAGGCTGCCGGCTGGCGAGCCTCCCCCTGTATTACTCCGCAGAAGGGGCGAGAATCTTTTTTTTGGGGGGGGGGTTAAGAGGAGCCATGACAAAAGCAAGTGGGGGGTGGAAGAAAGGGAAGGGAAATGACACAGAGGGACACCGGTCAAAAAGCACCCCCCCCCAAACACACCCCCTCCCAAGCTAAAATGCAAGCTACCCTACAGCTGCCTGATTCTCTGTGGGAACATCTGGACACACACACTGGCCTAAATTTAGAATGAGCTCATGACAACCGGCGAGAAAAGAAGGGGCAGGCAGCTGGAGCACCTCGAACGGCATTCATGCGAGCCAAGGGTTTGCACCAGACGCGCTGGTTGAAAAGGCAATCAGAGCCCCGATTATTCCCCGTCAAAGGGAGAAAGGAGACGGGAAGGAACCTTCTGCCAGCGGAGTCCGAGAGAGCGGCTGGCACGCCACGGGCTCTGCTTGGAAACCGACTGCAGGGCGCCGAACGCCAGCCAGACCTCGGCTTTCACTTTCAGCCGTGCTGGCTGGTGGATGCTGGGACCTGTAGCTCAACCCATCTGGAAGACACTGGGTGGGGAAGCCAGAGACCAGCGGCCCCCACTCTCTGGAAAAAGCCACGGGGAGGAACGTTCGATGGCGAGAGCTCGGGGGTCTTGGGGTAAATGAAGTCCCGTCTTGCTAATTAATGCCCAGTTGCAGGGGAACACGGTGCAACCCCTTAGCTCAGAAATATCCACCAGTCTACGCTTTAGCATCCCTGTTTCCAACCCCCAACTCACGGCGAGCCACGCTGGGTAGATGAGAAATCACTAGGCGGACAATAAAAGACATTAAAATGGATAAAACTGGTAAAATTATCAAAGGGAGCTCAGCAGAGAGGCTGTTGCTCCACCACCAACGGGAGAAACCCCACCAAGCTGAGTAAGACCCATGGCATCCATGGGGCTCATGCTCCACCGTAATGCGAGTTCAGCCCAGCTCCAGCGGGCAGCCCTCTGGCTTAGTCCAAAGGGGAGCTGAGGACCTCCAGACATCAGACGGGGGTCCACCTCAGAAGCCATCCCGGTGTGGGGAGCCACACAGTGATCTCTCCGACCCCATTCCACCGCCAGGACGCAGTTTGGGGTAACGCCCCATCCCTCCTGGGAGGACCCAAGACTCCCCAGGATTCTTTAGCACTTGACCTTGCTAAAGCAGCGATGGCGAACCTTTCGGAGACCGAGTGCCCAAACTGCGACCCAAAACCCACTTACTTATCGCAACACTGCAATAAAACCTGAAAACTGAGGTTTTAGTTTAGAAAAAACACCTCACAGCCAGTCAAAGCCATGCGAAAAGGCAGACGAGTCACAGCTAACGTGTCGCGGCTCGTGACTCCATCGCCTGGCGCCGCCACTCCTTTCCGAGCATGCGCATGGCCCCCATGTGCGCTGTTATCCGATGCTCAGCTGCTGGGGTGATGCTGGGGCGACTTGGCTCGCGTGTCGACAGAGGGCTCTGCGTGCCTGATGTGGCACATGTGCCACGGTTCGGCACCACTGCCCTAACCCTAATTTAGGGCGAAATTTCCACTGAAAAGAGGGCGATTTTGAAAAAGCCCTCCTTGAGTGGCTTTTTCTGCACAGCTCATCCTTTCTGCCCCTTCTAAACACATTCCAACCATCAGAATCATGCCAGGACTCCTAGTTTTTCTAACCCTAACCCTAACCTGGGGCACACCCCTAACCCTAACAGAGGGGTAAAGTTCCATTGAAAATAGGGCGATTTTGAAAAAGCCCCCCTTGAGTAGCTTTTTCTGCACAGCTCATCATTTCTGCTCCTTCTAAACGCATTCCAACCATCAAAATCATGCCAGGACACCTCGTTTTTCTAACCCTAACCCTAACCTGGGGCACACCCCTAACCCTAAAATAGGGATAAAGTTCCATTGAAAATAATGCGATTTTTAAAAAGCCTTCCTTGAGAGGGTTTTTCGGCACAGCTCAACATTTCTGCCCATTCTAA